GCTACATAGTGATACGAGATGATTTGTAACCACTTTTCAATAGGAGGGGAAACCTTCATAAAAAGTGCCTCCGGGAATTGACGCACGATCTCTCGCTATCAAGACAAGGGTGTTTTTTTTTTTGTTTTTTTAATAAATGTTCTTGATCGAGGAGAGTGCCATACCGCTACACCACGATCATTGTTTTTTTTTTTGTGTCTATGTCCTGTTGGGTGCAAAGCCACTATGTTGTCATCTGGCAGTTAAAGGTGACTGAAAGGGTAAATCCGGTAGAGGTGCATGATAGGTCCTTACTGTACAAAAGTCATAAAAAAATACAACACCACACATTTCCTGATAACCGAATCCCATGTGAATATATAATACAGAAGGCAGTAGGGCATAGACACACGCTCCCGCTGGAAGCCTATTTTTTTTAATGCTTTCATTATATTGTATAGGCCCTAACTATAATAATAGCATTACATGCTAATGTCAACAGAAAGTATGTTAATGTGCCACAAACCTATTGAAGATTCTGCGAGTATTCGGTTGTCTTCATGGAATAGTAAATTCTGATCGAGGTATCATTTTGGCACTTTTACTGTAGGCCAATTGTATTGTGTTTTTGTAGTAGGCCGACGGTCGTTGGCCGACGCGATTCTATAGAGAACACAACGCAACGATAAGAGCCCCACGGATCGTATTTAATGATGATCCGTCCGGATTGCCACCGACAATAAGCAGACGTCAACGCTCACAGGGAGCGAAGTTGGATTCGTCGTACGACGTTCGTAAGTGCACAGCTTTAGAATAAAATTAATTGATAAACAAAACCATTTATTAAATTGTAATGAGTAAAAAAATGCTCATGATAAAGATTGTAAAACCGAAAGTACGATTTTAATTTTCAATACATTTTGTGGCATATAAAAAACAGTTTGTGAGTTTAGTTAGCGGACGCCTTTGTGGTGAGCACTTAGATTAATTACTGTCCGTCATACAACAAACTCCGAAGAAAGAAGAAAACACCGTCGCAACGTTATTATAATTTTAATTTTAAGTTAACCTACTTTAATAAACCTGGTCATTTAAACATCAAATGAAATAACGCCATTGTAAATTGTATATTAATAACTATTCCAATATAATTTATATTAATCTATATTATTGGATATTAGACACAAAATTATGGCCATTATGTAGGTTAAATAATACTCATTGTTTGGTATAATGGACGCCTGTGAATATTAGCTGTCTATGCAAAATCCTGTCTCCCTGGCAAAAGAAACCTTTATTACTAACATACAATTGCTGGATGTCATTTTGCGCATGTGCAGTTTATATACTACTTTATGTTGAATCAGGGAACAGTTTCACTGTTCCCTGGTTGAATTTGTTCTTATCGAAGATGACACACCATTTTTTTTTGTTCTAATTAACTTGACCTTTGTACATACAACGGATGGATATTATTGTACAAACGATATATATAACTAGCGCATCATCAGTAATTCGTAACCTTAATTGCCAGTGCCACTTACCAGAATGGTACTTAAAACAATACTGAGAATAACACAGTCAACATTCTTATCAACGTTATCAGAAAATCAATTAAGGTTGTGTATAAATGTTGACTTATGAAACTCTGCGACCGGCACTAAGACGCGTCCACGTGTTTGTGACAAGCTGCATGTATGTGATTTATATTACAAACTGTAAATAAATAACTTGTCCGTATAGGAATATTGTTTGCTTTATAACAGAAGGCTAATATTGCATCAAGATATTCCAATAAGATAATGCGAATGATTAAACCAGCCCTGATTGAACAAGTTTTAAAAGTAATAATATTATCTCACGAGGTGCGTCATAGCATGGGCGTCACGGTATTTGGTCTTAGTTCACTACTTTGCGCTATTCAAACGTAAATGAAACTTGGCGCATATATATATATATATATATATATATATATATATATACATATGTGTGTGTATATATTTATGTATATATAATATGTATATTTATGTATATATATTATGTATTATATATATATATATATATCACTTTTTATAAATCTTAAAGAGATCTTGAAGAGAGCAGCTTAGCTCAGTCGGCTAATCTGGTGGTAGCCACTGTGTGTGCGCTGAACCATGGAGATCTCTAGGTCCCCGGTTCAATTCCCATCGCTGCCTCTCCTTGTGTTTCAGCTAGAGGGCTGAAATACAAGTTACAATAGCGCACCGTCTTTCGGATGAGACGTTTAAGCCGTTGGTCCCGTGTGCATTTATGGCCCATGTGCACTTTAAGGAACGCAGTACACTCTTCGGAAAAGAGTAGGGGATTATCTCCCGGTGTACTGTCCAATCACCATCAGGAGGACCCAACTGGAAATAATAATAATAATAATAATAATAGTGTAGTTTTATATAGCGCCCATATCCATCTAATGTAAGATGCTCAGGGCGCTTGAAATGTGGACTAGGAACTCAACCAATGACTTTCTTCGCCCCTAAGGGTCCCTTCGTGTCTGTGCTACCCGGTAACCCGGTACCAGCAACTCTCGTCGTCCACCACAGGGGCTGTCTGTTCCAGTACACCGGGGTAACCGGTGATTGGTCATTTGATTGACTCTCCGGAAAGGTCCGTTTCAGATGGATCCAATTGAAAACGCGACTAATGTGTCAAGCGTAAAACAATGTCTTTAAGTGCGCGGTTCTACAATTTGTCAGTCAAATTAATAGAGCTCAGGATGATTACATTA